TTGGACAATATGTAAAACATTACCCAAGTGGAAAGAAGTAAATTTTTTTTTTGTATTTTATTTTATTTTATTTTATTCATTTGGCATCATTGCTTATGAAGTGTTGTCAGGTTTGCCTCCTTATTATAATCGAGCCCATTATTCATTCACAACTCACCATTATTAGGGATGGACAAATGCAAAAATTTTAGTTTATTGAGCGCGTTATGTACATAGTCAATTATTAATAATTTTAAAAAACATTCATTGTAATAAATCATAAAATTATTTTCATAATTTTAGTTTAAAATGTAATAAAACATGTTTATTGTGATTAGGGGTTATACTTAATATATTTATTATTTTACTAACTTGGTAAATTACATCAGAATCATAAAATCACCAATGATATTCTATTGACAAAATTATTGATTAATGAATTTTATGAATGCCTTGTAGTGATTATATTATTTTGTTCTATTGGTAAATGAGAATTGTTACATTGCTTTGCATTGGGTTGAAAATTTGAACCAAAGTACCTTTGGAGAGCTGTTATACTCACTCTTGAACAAAATTCTAAAATGCACAACACATTTACCAACACAGCATTTATTTCATAGCCACAATATTTGTAGTGTATATGAGGTTGCTGAAAACCTGATACTTGACCAAGTTTATTGAAATGAGCCCAAATGGGATCAGCTGGAGGTCTCTTATGTTCTTAGCAATAAAAAGGTGTTTTTATGGTCATTCATTATTAAGATTATTAAGTTATGTTCTAGATTTAACAAACTATCAAAACAGTTTGGCTTTATATATAAAATCTCCAGGACCAAATGACACTTTACCACTCAACTATGTTAGAAATATATTCCCTGGTGTTTCTGGTGAATCCATTATTTCAAAACTCAAAAAAGTTCTAGAATTATGTTCGAGTTTAGATGATTGCCAAAAAACTACAATTAAAGATTATTTATAAAATTCAAATTAGTTAAACCAACAGGCAACAAGTTTAGTCTTAGTCCAATCATTGACTACTTGTATTGTGAGATGATTGTCCTAGTTAGTGTTGATCAATCAGAATGAGCTTATTATGGCAGTCATGTGATGCACTAAATATTGAACATTTTGCAGTTTAATAAAAGATTGATTAACCTCAACTCAACATGTTGATTTCTTTCTGATCAAAAGAGACTATGATACAATGCAACCATGCATTTGATTATTTTTTTATTATTAAAATTTTTTATTTTATTATATAAATCAAAAAGGAAAAATATGGGTTTAATAACTACTGGATTGATAGCATGTGGTATAGGGATGTCAACCGAAACTATGTCAAGCTACTGAAACACTCAGTAAAATTTTCAGTTTTGATTCAAAAACCAAAAAGTCAAAATCTCAACTGAAAATAGAACCTAAACCGAAAACATACTGTATATAGCACGACTTTTTTTTAGATAATTAATTAATTATACAAATTATATGTATATAATCTAGAAATTTATAATAATAAATTTACTTTATTTTTATTGACTGTTCATATATTGATAATGTAAACGAAATTCCATGAGTAATTATTTTAGATGCATATACACTGATTTTGGCCTTTTTGTTGAAAAAAATCTTTAACCTTGTTTTGCTCTCATTTAAAGTGTTTTTCATTTTAAATTATTTGTATTTTTTTTTTTTAAATATAATTTGTCAAAAAAATTCTAATTTTTAGCCACGATCGTATAATATATTAATATATATTAATAACCCAAAGTTAAGCTCATCAACAATTAATTTAGATCGATAATTAACTATATATTTGCTATTGGCAGCTGAGACAGATTAAACATCAAAAGATTTAAATCATGGACATGGTAAAAATTATTTAAAAAAATTTTTGTCCATATTAATATCAATATAGAGAATTGCTTACGAATTACGAAATCGCTATTTTTGAAATTTGACCACGTAGCGCAACAATATGGGTTTTTAATATGTGCTTGTTGGATTTATTTATATTAATATTGTACATGTAATCAACTGTAAATATATAAGTTTGGAAAGATGTTAAAGAATTTGTTTATCATTTTGATATTTACGTAAAACAATTTCAAAATAAAATTGCTTTACTTCAATGGATGCACTTGGACATCCATTTGCCAAAAGTTTTTGCATCAACTATGGACATTCTTTCTGTTCCATTATCATTACAATATATACAAGTGAAATCATACTTACCATGATACATTTCTAAATGTGCCCAAACAATACCAGGAAGTCCTTCCAGCATTCTTGGAATCTGGCAACTAAAGATTTCGAGAGTTAAAATTTTAAAGCAACATATATATATTCTATTTTGTTTCAGAGTTTGAGTTAGTAGAATTTTGAATTTCGAATGTTTGGTTCGTGATTTGAATTTCAATTGATTTCGATTTTGGAATTGATTAAAATCGACCCTAATGCTAATGTGTTAATTAATACTAACCACCGAAATTATTTTCGAAACAAACCTATTTCGCCATCGTGTATGAGAGTGACCCCATTCAATATGGTTCATATGCCTGTTCTACTCAAAGTAGCTTTGCTTAGTCAATTTGACCAAGGAAAAAGTCTTCCTCCATTTCATATTTTTTTAGATGCTTTCGTTGTTATCACCATTATTATTATTATTATCATTGTAATTTTTCCGTAATCGTAATCGACAATTTTATATCCTCAAAAAAAATTTTTTTTGAAAGATTACAAACAAAAATTCTTGTTCCTAGAGACTTTGATGAATTATCAGAAACATCAAAATCAGCAACAGATACTTGTGATTCATTAGAATATGATACTGACTCTGGAATAAAATAATTTTAATTTAATTTGGATTTTTTTTTCCTGTTTTAATAATAATAAAACTCAAAACCAAAACTTATGAAAACCAGTATATTCCGACTCCTATTGACACCTAAATAGTCGGATTATACAACTGGAACATGTCATGCTTTTGAAATAATTTTTTTTTCGTGTTCAACGTCGAATTTTTGACCTTGAAATCACATGTGTGTTTAAAACTCTGATTATGGCTACTTTGCCAACGCGTTATGTTTTTCCCAATTAACTTAAACAATCAATAACAAATTATATTATTTTTGTTTATCAAAGTAAAAAACAACAATTGTTATTATTTTCGAAGAATTAGACTTTCTCATTTTTAATGATTGCTGCGTTCGTTGTAAAAATAAATGTGCACAAAGAAAATAATTTCAAATCGGAAGATATTATGGTATTATGTTGGCGCAGCCAAGTTACCGCACTTCAAGTAAGGAGATTTGCTTGCTTTTATTGTATATTTGAAATTTTCT